TGCTGCTCCCGGCATCTGATGCTGTCAGTGTTCCGGCAAAATGTTGGCCATTCTGATAGATGTGCAGTGGCATCTCGCTGCTGTTCTATTCTGTGTTTCCCAGGTGACATGCTGTGCAGCATCTTTTGCTATACTTACTTGTCATAATATGCAAACAATTTAAAAAACTCAACACTATGAAAACAAGCCACCCAGCTGAAAACTAGGCGAAGACCTGGACACCTCACCAAAGAAGATACACAGATGGTAAAGCCACCGTGGAAGACAGTTTGGCAACTTCGTACAAAGTGAAACTATCAGATACGAGCCTTGCAGCTATTTTCCTACAGCCTGTGGCTTGTCTTTTCATTCTCTTAACGTGTTGTCAACTGCTCTCATCAAATTGCCCTTTAATGGGTTGTTCTTTAGGTGTTGTGTGAGTATACTTTTTGAACTTTACTGCTTAAAATGTACCCAATTCCTTGGCTCTTCGATGGTTTCTCCTCCCAGGGGCAGCGCCCACAGTGTCAGCCCCGCGCTCTCCCCAGGGACACAGACATGTGCTGGTCTGTTCTTAGGGTTTGACAGGATTCGCTAGGAAAGCCGCAGACACCTGGAGTGTTCCTAGTGTGCAGGTTTTAAATTATGGATTCCATTTCTTTACCAAGGTTCTCCAGATTTCCCCTTTCAGCTTGTGTCAGTTCTAATGTCATATTTTTCCAAAACGTGTCCATTTTGTCTAAATTTTCAAGTTTATTAGCATAAAGTTGCTCCTCAAGTCCCCTTGAAATCTTTGAGTGTCTGTAGGGTCCCACGTGTCCTTTCTCATTCCTGGCATTGGTTATTTTGAGAGAGAGAGAGAGAGAGAGAGAGAGAGAGAGAGAGAGAGAAAGAGAGAGAGAGAGATCAGTTGCCTTCTGTACCTTCCCTGATGGGGATCAAACCCGAAACCCAGGTATGTGCCCTAACTGGGAATTGAACCAGCAACTTTTGGGTGCATGGGATAATGGTCAACCAACTAAGCCACTTCAGCTGGACTATTTTCTTCCTTTCCTCATGACCAGCCTTATCAGGGGTTTGTCGATTTTATTAGTTTTTTTCAAAACCCAACCTTTGGCTTTCTTTGCTCTCTTGGGGGATTTTCCTATCCCACTGCTCTGCTCTTTGTCATTTCTTCCTTCTGCTTTGTCTGGACCGAATTTGCTGGCCTTTTTCTCGAGAGAGCAGGACAGTCGCCTTTCTTCCGTTCTAACATGTGCATTTCCCTCTAATCCTGGTTTCAGCAGCATCCCACAGCTTTATGTAGTGTTTGCATGATTAATTTCAAAATCTCTTCTAACCTCCACTATGGCTTCTTTGAACTGTGAGTTATTTAGAATACTGTTTCTAAATTCTTGAACATATGAAGATGTTTAATTACCCTTTGTTTAATTTCTGGCTCAATTTCACTGTGGTTTTTCAAGTCTTTGAAGTCTGTGGGGATTTGATTTTGTATCTTGGTGTGTTTGGAAAGATGGCACCTCCTGCAGGTGTTTTGTGCCCTGTCTGCAGGTGTCAATATAGTTTAGCTTGTTAGGCAAGTTGGCCACACCTACCCTGTCCCTACTGATCTTATTTTTGTCTGCTAGCTCTGTCAGTTACCGACTCGTGTCTAAAACTTGCTATTATAATTGTGGGTCTATTTTCCCCAATAGACCTGTCCATTTTTGTTTCACTTTTTGAGGCATAATACTGGGTACCTACAAACTTAACACTGCTATAATGTTCTGTAGAGTCAAACGTTTGTAATTTTGAAACGTGTCCCTTTATATAACTAGTCATGGTTTGGCTGTAAGGTCTTTGCCTGATAGAAACACAGCGCCACCAGCCGTTCATCTGCATGTTTCCTGGGCTATTTTTTCTTTCAGGCTCCAACCTTTCTCGTTACATCTTCTGCCTGCTGTCAGGCGGATATCGCTGGGTTTGGGGTGGGGTTTACCATTGTTGTTTTGCTTTCAGCCATGGCCATTTTGTCTGTTAATAGGAATGTTAATCAGTTTACATTAATGTAATTCTGATATGCTTGTATTTCGATTGGCTTCTTAATATTTTTTTTCTCTTTATCTTACCAGTTCGGTGTGTATTTTCTCTCATTCCTTGCCTTTTTAAAACTGATCCCTTTCTATCTTATTTTCCCATTTGTCACCTCTATTAATTTGGTGATTATCCAGTTTTGCTGTTCTTTCAGCATTTGCCCTAGAGACCCGGAACCCGGCGTTGGCCAACACGCATGGTGCATTCCCCTCTCCTTGGGCAGGACGAGGATCTCTGAGCGCTTCCGTCCCATTTGCTGCCCACTCAGCTTAACGCTGCTCTGATTCCATATTTGAGTCTATACACATTGCAACCTCCCGAGGAATCACTGTCGGTTCACACAGTCAGGTTCATCCAGATTTATCCACTGTGCACTGTCCCGTGACGTTCCATCTGGAGTCACCGTCCCTCCACTGAAACGAGCTTTCACGCTTTCTTTAGTGAGTCTGTTGGTGACAAACTAACGCTTTTTTACTTATGTGAGAACGTCCCTAATTTTCCTTCGTTCTTGAAGATACTTCTTCTAGGCATAGAATTCTAGGTTGGTGGCTATTTCCTCTCAACACTTTTGAAGGGACCACACCATTGTTTCCCAGTTTCCATGGTTTCTGGTGAGAAGTCAAATTCCAACTAAAAGTTGTCACAAACCGGGCACTTAAACAACAGGTGGGCATTCTCTCCCAGTACTGGAGGCCAGAATCCGACACCGAGGTGCAGCCAGGCGTGCTCCCAGAGGACGGTCCTTCCTGCGGCCTCGGTTTCCGGGGCCCCAGGAGCTCCTCCCAGTCTCTGCCTCCATCTTCAGTGCCTTCCTCTGAGTGTCCCTTTCTGTCTCTTATAAGGACACTCCCATCTGACTTAGGACCTCATCCAGGGTGATCTCATCTCAACCCTTATCTTAATCACACCTGCAAAGAATTTATTTCCAAATAAGTCACAATCTGAGCTTCTGGGTGGACATGAATTTGGGAGGCATTACTCACCCAGTCCAGCACTGAATGGCAGGACATGGGCCACACACTGTAAGTTCTATAGCTCCAGACTGGCTGTCCCCCTGAGATGCACAGAAGGGGTGATTGGCCTGAGTTGGGGTCCCTGGGTGAGTGCAGGCAGGCTCAGGCCACTGACAGGCCCTGGATCCAAGCTCCTGTCCTACCGCTGCCTGGAGCCCAGGGGTGACTCCGGAAAGGTAGCCATGCTTATAGGGGACTGAGAATGAAGGTAAGTGATGAGGGGCCACCTTGCTCCCATGGGGACTGGCTGCCCTGAGTTCCCTAGGCAGCATCCAAAGCTCCCTGGATGCCCCCACCTTTTGGGCAGGTTACCCAGCAGAGGACTAGTAAAGAAATTATGTCCAGGCTGGGGGGCGGGCACAAAAGATAGATGACTGGAGTGTGACAGTCAGGAAAGCTAAAACACAGTCAATCTTTTTAAAAGAAGAAAAAGTCAGAAACACCAAAAGGAACATCATGGTTATGGCTTAACATGGGGGTTGGGGGGGTGTCATATGGGATCATTTTTTTAAATTTTTTATTGATTTGAGAGAGAGAGAGAGAGAGAGAGAGAGAGAGATTTGTTGTTCTACTTATTTATGCACTCATTGGTTAATTCTTGTATGTGCCAGGACCAGGGATCAAGCCCACACCTGTGGCATATGGGGACAATATTCTGGCCAACTGAGCTACCCAGCCAGGGCACATTTTTATTTTGTCTTTATAGTTTCCTACATATTCAAAATTTTCTACAGTTAACATATTTTTTGTTGTTGTTGTTAATCCTCACCCAAGGATATTTTTCCATTGATTTTTAGAGAGAGTGAAAGGGAGGGGGAGAGACAGAGAGAGAAACATCGATGTGAGAGAGACATATGGATTGGTTGCCTCCCACATATGCCCCGGGGTGGGGATCGAGCCTGCAACCGAGGTACATGCCCTTACCTGGAATTGAATCTGGGACCCTCTATCCACTGAGCCAAACTGGCTAGGGCAAGCATATTTTATTTTTATAACCAAAAATGAAGAAGAAATAAAAAGGTGCTTCCATGAGGAAACAGGGGGCAGGTCCTAGGAGGTGACCCTGCTGGCTACACTCCAATGGGAAATGCAGACGCGCATGACCATTTGTAGACCAGACAGCTCTGGGGGCTGCCCTACTGAGACCTGCTTTTCCTGCCCTCACCCTGCCCCCACCTCTGACGCTCCAGGGTTTGGAGAGTTTGGCCAGTGGGGTGGGGATAGGGAGCAGACGATGCAACAAGATTGGGGGCTGGTGGTCAGAGAAGTGAGCTAGAGAACTGGGTGCCCTCCCCAGGGCTTTCGTAGGGAAATAACTCAAGAGAAACATCTCTGGACATGAATGCACAACCCCTTTATTTCCCATCCAGAAACCAGAAAACAGAGTGAGATTAAAGAGCCAAACACCAGGACAGTGCAGCCCCTTGCTCGAGTCCAAGCATCCCAGTCACCCTTGCCCATCTCCTGCCCCTACAAGGCTGAGAGCCCACCTCCCTTGGCTTCCAGCTGTGAGCTCTTCTCAATGCCTACTTGTCTGACAGTATTAAAACTGAACTTCTGTGTCCTTATACAGGGCCCTTCATGAAGACCTACCCTCAGGGCTCTCCATGAAGAAGTTGAAGGTCAAAGGTGCTTCTTGAGGGATCACCCAGAGCTCCATTCAGACCCTTGCCCTCCCCCCTCCTCCTGGACGCACCTGGCCAGGCCTGGTCAGAGGGCCCTTCAGGAGGGCCAGCACTGCTCCCAAGGCTTGTTCCCCAGGCCTGTTGGCTCGGGGCCCGGAAGCACATTCTCTAGGACCTCACGCAGGGAGAACACGCAGAAAGAGATCTCCTCGTAGGACACCCTGGTTCCACTCTCATATAGACACGCGAAGGTCAGGGAGCCCTCAGGGGTGGGCCCGATGGATGCCAGGTCAGAGTAGCCGCTGGGGCCCTGGTAGATCACCCAAGGCTCCGTCCAGCTGTGTGGATCCAGGGGGGACCTGTTCAGGTGGACACCCATATGGAGCCGAGCCCTGCGCCCCGCTGGGTGGGAATACAGCAGCCACGTGGGGCTCTGAGGCAGGGCAGCAGGGAGCCTAGGGAGCTGCAGGGACCAGGCCCTCCCGTCCCCACTGAGCTCAGGCCCTGGGCTAGGATCCCCTGATAGCTCTGTCCCGCCCCCACATCCCTTTGTCCCATCAACACCCCCACCCCTTTGGGTGTCTCCAGCCCACTCCTTCGGGGATTTGTGGGCTCCAGGACAGAGATTTGGAGAAAAGGGAGTCTTCCTGGAGCCCACTGACCATCCCTCATCGCCAGGCCTATTAGAGTGTGGGGCTGGGAAGCCCAGGATGCTGCCCTGGCAACCCCGGGCCGTCTCGGCCAGAGTGGGCACCAGCTCTCCCGGTAGGAAGGAGGTGCCCTCATCTGTGCTGAGGGCCTGCACACGGCTGCCCAGGGGGCTCCGGGCATTGCAGTAGAGGACACTGCCCGCCCGCCCTCCGTCCACCACAGCCAGCTGACACTCGCCCGAGCGCAGGTTGGACAGGAGGCCGCCATGGCGCCAGGTCTGGCCATGGTCATCGCTGTAGAAGGTGAAGGCGTGGGGGCTGGTCCTGCAGATCTTGCCGAAGCACTCCCGCCGGTCCACGTGGTAGGTGTAGGCCGGCACCAGCAGGCGGCCCGAGCGCAGCTGGATGCCGTGGCCTGGGCCCACGGCAAATGTGGCCCAGTCTGCAGACGGGAGGGGCTGCTGGTTACCTCAGGAGCCGACAGCCACAGCGCAGGTGGTGGGCAGGATGGGGGCAGTGCCGGATCACGGAACAGCTTGTGAGGGAGCCACCCCTTGACCATGCCTCTGCCCTCCACTCCTTCAAGCCACCCTGAGACCTCTGGGGCTGGACAAGCCTCCTGAGAACATTAGCAGGAGTGGGAGCCCAGGCGGCCACTTGGCCAGGTTCTTGGCATGTGAGCAGGTGGCCAGTGTGAGCATTGTCCCTGCAGGGGCAGCTGGGGGATGTGGGGTGTGTGCAGCTTCGGGACTGGGTAGCCGCTCCAGGCTGGGCCAGTCCCCTGGGGTGGGGTCCACACCCACTGACCGGTAGCTCGTTGAGTAGCTCCAGGTCTCAGAGCCGCCCCCTGACAGGGTCGGGGTGGCCCCGGAGGCAGTGGTAAGGTCACCCTGCCTGCAACCGCT